TAATAAACTAATGATAATGTTAACTAATTTTTAGCTGAGCAGCCTAATATATGCTATATTAAATGCCTTGACATGCATGCAACATCTAAGCTGCACAACTAGGGGGTGATGCTGTTGTAATAAACAACATAAAATTAAAAAAAAAGCATCCTGAGCATGGCTAAAGCAACGCTAGGCTAAAAATCTCCAAAAACAACACCGTGGTCACTGATCATCCTAACCTCGCACATGTTCGCCCATGAAATCGGCTCCACAGACAGTTTTCCTGTGTTTTCACATGGATGCACAACAAACTACTAGAGTTTGCAGTTAAAATTTTGCCTCAGTCAAAAAAGAACTTGAAAGGCATCTTCAAATAATGATTATTACTGAAGTCAAAAATCAACACTTTGGAAAGCAAAGCGGCAAAAGTAGCACAAAACTCTGTGTCTTGCAAAGCATGCGTGTTAGTTTTTCTAAATTAAATTGTGTTGATGTAACAATCTTCTGTGAAGTAGAGTTCTGTAATAACTATTAGTGTTTAGTTTGAAGTCAAAATGTGTTACATTTCAGGGGGATTAAATGTATTTCAGCACCTGTTCACAGCAAACATCACCTCCAGACTTTATAACACAAACAGCTTATTTCCATGATACAGAAAACCTAGTTCTGCTTAAACTCAAATACTGTCTCATTTCTACAAAACGACTTATTTTAATCAGTTCGTGCTCTGCTCCATTATTAGGAACCATGTCAGTGAAGTTAGGGGAAACTTGATAGTAAAAATAAATAAAAACAAACATAAAAATGAAAAACTTATCCAAATCTGCCACATTAACCAGCTGCGTGACATCATCTTCATTCTTAAAAAACATAACATACTCTATTATTTATATGCTTTAGTCCAACAAAATGGTAACACTTTATTTGAAGGGGTGTGCATAAGACTGACATGACACTGTCATAACCATGACCTGTCATGAACATGAACGAGTCTTTATGAATGTTTATGACTGATGTCATGAAGTGTCCTTCGGTAAATAATGACACTCTTGATGCAAAGTTGCTCTAAAAGTTGCATTGAAAGTCCATTAAAAATGCCAACGTTGCATTAAATTGTCATTATTTACAAAATCATGCAAAGTTGGCACTTTTAATGGACTTTTAATGCAATTTTTAAAGCAACTTTGCATTAAAAGTGTCATTATTTACCGAATGACACTTCATGACAACAGTCAGACATTCATAAGGACTCGTTCATGTTTATGACAGTGTTATGTCAGTCTTATGCACACCCCTTCAAATAAAGTGTTACCAAAAACACATTAAGAGGGCATTCACACCAGCCCTGTTCTCTTTAATCAAACTCTGGTTCGTTTGATTAGAACGTCCATTTCGTTTGAATGTGAACTCTAATCCGCCTATAAACCTCGGTCTGGGTTTGATTGAAGTGAACTCTGGTGCAAATGTGAACGGCAAGCGGACCGGAGACCGTTCCAAAAGTAGGAGGCAGACTACAGTGCAGGGCATTCTGGGTAAAGACAACCAAAACAAATACACTAAGCTACTGCTGGCAGGAGAAATGACTCGTGATATTAAGCCAAAGACAAAAGAAAAATCCTTCAACAGCTAAAATCTGACGCCACTCCATTTTGTTTACATTTCCTGAAGAAGGAAGTTGCGCTCAGTGTCTTCTTCAGAGGTTTTTGTGTTGTTTCCTTCAATGGTTCTTGATGCAGCGCCCCCAGAGGAGAGGAGGGGGACGAGTTGCTCAAGTAGTTTAGTTGGTTTGACTCAGAGCAGAGAGAAAAAGAACCACAGCAGCTGGAAATTTAATAAATGTTGCAACTCTGGTTCCCAATCAAACTGAGTTTATCCAGACTATCAGGTGTGAAAACACCTTAAATAATCCTGGTTCAAACCTCAGGAACCATGGGAAACCGTAAAAACAAACTAACAACAGCCAGGCGGGAAAAACGTTTCCAGTTACAGCAAGAATGAGCAACAGGAGGATTTCTGCATGGCTCTACAAAGACAGTTAGTAAAATGTTTCCAGTTATATTAAAATTGTTCTGTAACAACCTTTGGAAAATATGCTGACATTCCCAACATTTGTTCATAAGGCTTAAAATGAAGGATTAGTGGGAACCCTGGTAGACGGAGAATGTCAGTGTTAGAAAAATAAGAGTCCAAAGCGAATGAATTAAAGAAAAATTTGGTAGAAAATCAACAAAATAACGGAAACCTGAAAATGCTGGAGGGCCATGTGGAATAAAAAATAAAAAAATATCCAAAGTAGAAAAAAAACTAAAAGTTTGAAGGCATGCGAGACAAAGGGAGGTGCAGTGGAAAAATACTTGAAAGAAGCAGACGTACCATTAGTCGGATGCTTTGCAAACGACACAGAAAATCGTTTTACTGCCGGCATAGACAACAACTCTGAGGAAATAAAAAAAATAAAAAAATAAAAAATTCACTAGAGTCACCATGAACCAAAACAGCTCACATGTATCATGTTGTGTAATTCCCTGGGCTTCCCTAATGTGCTCGGGGAAAAATAAATGAACCTAAACAAATGAGCGGTTCGAGAATCAGAAGGATGTCCTGGTTTCAGGTAAAACATGCAAAATGTTTGAAGATGTTTTACTCATGGCTGTCAATGGAACATCTTCAGATGCGGAAGTGACATGAAACCATTAAAACTCAAAGAATAAACAACGGAAACATAAAGAAAATTCAAGCCTCTGCTTTCCTCAAACCAACACGACCCAAACGACGACACTCAGGTATTCTGAATAAGATGCTAAAGAAAAACATGCACTAACTCTTTAAAATGTGGAAGAACAGGCTGAATTAGTTTGATTCCTTTCATTCCTGAAAACGAGGTGCAACAAGATGGATGACAAAGACCAACGGTGAGACAATCAGGAGGATGGAGGCGAGTCGGCACAGTCCCACACTGACACCTACAGGACAACCGCAGCACTGCAGGCACTGCTCAGCAAATGGTTGGTTTTAATGGGAATTTATTTGGATCTTTATGTTTTCTCCTCTTTTTAAGCATGTCTGATAGATACATGCACAAATGGAGTCCAGATGTTTTCACAAATCTGTCTGCAAGTGGAGGAAGATGGTGGAAAGTGTTGGGCTGGGCAATATGTCAGATTTAAATCTAAAGATCCAGACTCCAAAGAGCCTGGAGAACATCTGATCAAGACCAAATTTAAAGGAATATAAGAAAGTAAAGCTGATCAGGATTAAAAATCACAACTGCTCAACAATAAGACAACTGACTGCTTTATTTTATATTCATCTTTCTTACTTTTCTTGTCAGACTAAAATGTTTCAGAGCATCATTTTAATATATCATGAGGACAGAAAAATGTAGTTTTCCATCATATAATCATATTTCCTATGAGCATTAGAGCCTTAGTAAGAAAAACATTGATGGAAATAAAGTTACATTGCAAGAAAAGTTATAATATTGTGAGAAAAAAGTCAGGAAAAATTAAGTTACCTTATTATCAGATTAAAGTTGTATGACGGTAAGTCGAAACAATACGAGAAAAAAAATTATATTAATTTAATAATAAGTCATACAACATAAAGTCATAATATTATAAGAATAAAGCAGAAATAATGTGAGAAAAAAAGCAATGACCCATAATTAAAGTCCCAATATTACGGAAAGTCGCATTATCATAAATCAGAATAATGCAGGAAAAAAATTCATAATAATACGAAATTGTTATCGAATAAAATAAGTCAAAATTATGAAAATAAAGTTTAATAAAACAACTGCGTGTGTGACGGACTATATAAACTTCTGTGTGGAAAACAACATTCCCAAGAAAACACAGATAATTATAAACCCTGGAGCTAAAGGAACTGCCAAATAAAATAGGAGTTACTGAGGATTACACAGAATCCTAATCTTAATCAAAGTTAAGATTAACAACAGCAAAGAGAAGAATCTAGAGAAGAAAGTGCAGAGGAACAACATCAGAGACGTTAGAGTCTGGGTAAAGTTCAAAACTGCAACAGAGCAAGAAACCGTTTCTCAGTTATAACTCACTGAACCATATTAAATAAACATTTAAAACCCAAAACAATCCAGAGAAATCAAGTACATTTTCTTTCTGCTAAATGAATGTAATAATTATTGATTAGTAAGTAAAGAACATTTTAAAAGTTGATGTTTCCTTACACATTTTGTAGCATTGTCGGTAAGTTTGCATAGAGAGACACAAAGGCATGAAAAAGTTTGGTTTAGTCGGATTTAACTTCAGACAGCAAGAAAAAAAGGTGTCTATTTATTGTGTTCATGAAAATATCTGGTTTCAACTGAAAATAATGTTTTCCAAATTTAGGGTTTTAATCAAACAGATTATTATAAACCTGCACAGCTGGAATAAGGACTTTATAGAGAAGTCCAGCACTTTCCAAGCCCTAAAAACACCTAATTGCATTTTCAAGGCTTTCAAGTAACTGTATGAACCCAAAGCTTCCAAATAACATTGTATCATTCATTTAAAAAATGATTTGCAGAGTATTACAAATACTTACTATAAGGGTGATGATAACATACAAGAACAACTTAATAGCAGTTGACAGTAATTAACTCCAGTTGGTAGGTCAAAATAAAAATAATCTACTACTTTTAAATGCATTTTAAGTTTTTTAAATGCATTTTAAGTTATGATAAAAGCCACAAAAACCCCAGGAAATATAAAATAACCAAGTAATTTTAGTGCATTTGCAATAAATCCTGAACCGGTTTGCCCACACTGCCACCTGGTGGCGAAGGATTCATGTAACTGCTTTGCAGAAGAATGATTTAATTTACCTGTTCTTACCCGTCTCTCACCTGTGGTTTATGTACAAACCATCTGGATTTTCTGCTGCCCTCCACGCTCCCAAATACTTCAGAAAACCTTCCAATATGGACACTTATTCTCCTGTAATGTCTACAATAACTCCAAACAGGCAGGAATGCCGTCACTGTTCTGTCTATTGCTCACCAGAATCTTCATCTTCTGGTGCACTCTCGTTCTTTCTGTTTCCATCTTCAGCATTTCCACCATCTTCTAATTATAAAAAATATGCTGTAAGTAATAACTGGATTTCATATAAAGCCTAAGGAAACAAGCTAATAAACAACCAATACATTTTAAATCTGGATTTCACAATAAAAACTGAAGTTAAAATAATGCAAACTCTCCTGACATGAAAATTATTAACCTGGCATCTTTCTCACCTGATTCCTCCGTTTTATCACCCTCACTTGTCTCTCTTTTCTCAGCCTCCTCTCTTTTACCAGGTTCTACTACTTACAAAACAAAAATATAAAATAAAGTGTAAATACATAAATAAATCCACATAATATCAACATATGGCCTTAATCTCATAAATATTTATATTATTCCATAAAACTGAGTTTAAATCAAGGTAAAAAAAATTGAGCTAAATGTGACAAGTTGAATTAAAGTTGATTTAAAATCACATTAAGTAAATCTGACATGAAAATCACTTTGTGGCTTCAACTGAAACCACCTGGCATCTTTCTCACCTGATTCCTCTGTTTTATCCTTTTCACTTTTCTCACTTTTCTTAGTCTCATCTTTT